GATCCAATAGAGACACCTGTATGCCAATGTTCATTGTAGCATTATTCACAATAGCCAAGCTATGGAAACAACTGAGATGCTGTACACCTAAAGCTTTACCACTCAAGTCACACCTCTTGTCATTTGCTCTGGACATTTGGAAATTGTGTCTTGAAAACTATTTGCTCTGGTGGGCCTCAAACTATAATCTACCTGAACTCATGTAGCTAGGATTACAGGTGTCAGCCACAGTTGCCAGCTATTTCAGAGACTTTTGTGTGACAAGAGCCCTGATATTCTCTGCTTTCCCAGGCCACCTTGGGAATTATCTGCATGGAATTCACGTCCCCACAGTGAGGCATCTATGCACTCAGAGGCTGCTGAAGCTAAGGTTCAAGTGGGCCTGGGCTGTACATACAAGTAGGTGGCCCATTTTGGCATTGTCCACAAGATAATTGTTTTTAGGTCTGCAGAATGCAAGAAATATGGGACCATACAGGCTTCCACCAAGATTTCAAAAGAAAACCTGGAAGGTCAAGCAGTAAACAGTACGGCCAGAGTCTGTGGAAGCAGCCATTGAGAGGTCGAGGTATGAAGCTGTGAGTGAACCTGAGCTATCAGAGAGACGCTGGGAGGTCGGTTGCCAGGAAGGTGGATGATATGCACAGGGAAGGCCATAGGCAGTGAGCACAATGAGCCCAAGAGCAGTCACCTTTGTTGCACCTGTCCAGACCATATGGACAGGACTGCATGAGATCTTTGGAGCTCAGATCACAGAACAGGTGTCTGGATGCTAGACCTGATGCTATAGGGTTCATTGTTTGCCACTTTCTTTTAGTCTTGCTTTGGTCTGATTTCTCCTCTTTCCTTTTCCTGTCTTTTGGAATGAAAATGTTTACCTTTGAACCACTGTACCTTGAAATGTATAACTTTCTTTTTGATTTTCTGGGATTTACCATTAAGAGTTTGGTTTGGGTCTCAGAGGAGACACTGGACTTTTGAGCACCTCTGGGGCATTAAGACTTGGAATTCTTGCAAATGGACTGAATTCATCTTCCATTGTGAGATGGACCTGGACCTTTGAAGGCAGAAATTCAGTGTTACAGTGTAGATGGTAAATGTTCCCAAACATTCACATATTGAACACTTGGCCCTTTACACTGCAAAGTCAGAGGTGGGGCTTTTGTAAGATGATTGGGATTTCAGGGCCATGACCACACAATTCAGAGCATAAGGGATTTGAGGGAAGGGCCTTATTATTACACTCAGCTTTCTCTTTGGATGTATGAAAGAAGGCTACTCTGCCTAATGATCCTTGGCAAGATATTCTACCTCAGTGGGAGTACCTGCACTGTTCCAGAGGTGGGGATGTATGTGGTACCTGTAATGACAGAGTACAACATCTGTGATGATGCCAGGTGTCTGTCCTTATCTGTCTTGCCACCCATCTTCCTCTGATCCCTAAGATATCTGGCTCACTCATTAGCACCCCCAGAATCTCAGACAGGGTCTTAAAAGGAGACATGTCACCATGGAAAAAGCAAAACACCTTCTATACTGTTTCTCTCTGAAGAGTCTCCTCTGAAGATTTGGTCACTTAATCATTCTGTTTAATGAAAGTCCCTCATTACAGGAATAGCTTCTTCCAGATGTTTACCATGTTGGAAAGAAAACATTGGGCAGGACATGTGGGCATCTGTGCCAATTAAGACCAATCTGTACAAATTATAAGCAAAAAAAGAGGTTTTTGTAGAAGTGGGTTTACCTGGTGTCCATTTTTAGTTCTGTCTGAACTATAGATGATATCCTGACATCTTAAAAATGCTGCAGAATATCAACAGACAACAGTTAAAAGTTTTACAAGAGATACAAAAAACCAAAAAAAGCAAATACCTAAATGGCTGACTTAATTGAAAAATAGGTACTTGGTAGTCATTTTGGGGTTTGACTGCAAATGCTCCAGAGAAGGACCCAGACTGTGAATGACAAGACTTAGAATAGCCATGGTTGAAACACTGATATGTAATTTAAGAATTGTCAGAATACTTAGTTATTTCTATTGCAAACAGCATTTTAGGAAAATAATTATGATGGACAGCATTAAAACAGCTATACTAAGTGATCCTTGTTACAATTAGGAGCACATGGACATAACCCTTTGAAAGCCAAGCATTGTTAACTATAGATCTCTTACAGGTTAGGGGGACAAGTAGCCCACCTTAATCTGATTAGACCACAGTAGTTTTTCTCTACTTGGAAGTATGGCAAGGTACATAATGCATGTCAGGGCAAAGTTAATTTTCAAGAGGGTCTGCCCCACCCCCAACCAGGGGCCAGTGCCATGGCAAGCAAGTCCCCCAACCCACAGGTAGCTGTGTATTTGCTCTCTGTTTGTGCTGCTCCCTTCCTTGCTTTCCCAACCAGCCATACAAAGGCTCCTGTTTTCCCAGGGCAGACAGAAGTCATCAGCCTGTCAAGAGGGTTTTTTCATTTATTTTTTTAAATAAAAAACCTATGTGAGGTGTGCTTCCCACCTGTTCTCTAAAAGTACCAGTTGGGGAAGGGGAAGAGAGAAAGAAGGGGGTGTGACAGAGAAACCTTGCCCAAATGCCCATTGTATTTCTAATTAACCAGGTCATGTGGTGATTAGAGACCTTGTTGTATGATCTCCCACAGTGCAACTACTATAAGCACAAAGGAAAGTACAGGGGAGGGAGTTAAAAGTTTAGGAAAGAGGCATCTAATTTTAAGTTTTCAGCATGGTCTCCATCCCCTGGTCCAGGCCTTGGCATGGTCCAGCTTGGTGCTCCCTGTCCCTTCTTTGGCCTCCTGCAATTCAGCTGCTGCCAGGAGCACTGGGCTCTGGCCCATCCCCCTTCATAATCTGTCACAATGACAATATAAAGGAAAGGAACGAAGCTGTGTTAGAGCAGAGTATTTTCATACCATTGAAACTAAATGGATATTATTCCAGCTAGATTTCTATGAGTTTAAGATATTCACTGTAATCACAAACACAATGAGTAAAAAAAAAAAATAACTAAAAGAAATACAGAAAGGAAAGAAAAAGGGAATCAAAATGGCACAGTACAAAAACTCAACTAAAAGGGCTGTGATGTAGGTCAGTGGTAGAGTCCTTGCCTAACTTGCATGAGGTCCTAGGGTAAAATCTCCAGCCCTGAAAACGGTGCTCCAGGAATGGAAAGAAACAAGCATGTAAGAAAAACAGAAGCCAGACACTAGTGTCTCCTATCTGTCATCCCAGCAATTGGGAGGCTGAGATAGGGAGGATCCCAGTTCGGGGCCAGACAAGGCAAATACTTCAGTTATTCCAAATACTCCAAAATAACCAGAGCCAAATGGAGGGGAGATGAGGCTCAAGAAGTAGAACACTTGCTTTACAAACACAGAGCCCTGAGTTCAAACCCCAGTCTCAGAAGGAAAAAAAAAAAAAAAGACATATAGTGACTAGCTAAATGGCAGGAGTTAGACCTTCCCTCTCAGGAATTTCTATAAATACAAATGGGTTAAACTGCCCAGTTAAAAGGCAGAGACTTGCAGAATGGATTTGAAAACCATGGGCTAAATAAGCTGTATTCAGAGAAACTCACTTTAACTACTAAGATACACAAAGATAGAAAGACAGAAAAAAGTTGTTCCTTTAAATCAGTATATTACAATAATGAGAATATTATCCAGCAAAGTAGACTTTACATCAAAAAGGTCAGTACATTAATAGAAGTTGCAATTCACCAAGATACAACAATTTTATCATAATATCCCAATACATGAATACTCCCAAAATATAGGAAGCAAAACTAAATGTAAAAGACTTTAACGCGTTATAGCCTAGATCCATGGTGAAATAGAGAAACTGAAACTGTACCTGCTGTACAGGCCTAGCAGACTGTACAGAGCACTGAAATCAACCCCAGGAGGATACACATTCTTTTCAAGCGCTCATAGAACATTGTCCAGGACAGATCATGTGTTAGATAACAAGTATAATATATGTAAAGAGACTGAGATCATATAGGATGTTTTTTCAACTATAGTAAAATAAAACCAGACATCAACAGCAGAAGGAAAACTGGAAATTTATATATGATAACATGTACAAATAAATAACACACTCTTAAACAACCAGAGAGTCAAAAAGATCATAAAGGAAAGAAGATACCTAAGGACAATGAAAACAAAAACACAATGAATAAAAATGTACTCCCACAGTGAAATCAAAATCACTACTCTGAGGCAAATTTATACCTCTTCACACCTGTGTCAGAAAAGGAGAAAACTATCCTCACCAAAAATGAAATCTAAATCCAAAGCTAGCACAAGGAAGGAAACAATAATGATTATGGCAGTGATAAATCAAGTAGAAAAGTAAAAGAAAAATCACTAACACCAAATATTGGTTCTTTGAGAAAAACTAACAAACTTGACAAACCTTTAGCTAGATTAGTAAAGAAAAGTAGGAGTCAAATAATAAAATTTGAAACTGAATTTGGAACAATACTGTCAATGTTGTAGAATAAAAAGGATTGTGAGTACTATTCAGCACTGCATGCCAGCACCATGCAATTGAGTACTATTCAGCCATAAACAGGAATGGGCACAGATAGGTGTGAGAACATGCACAAACCTTGTGGATTGTGATTCTACTGATAACAAGATGCACAGTAGTCATTACTAGGAACTGGTAGAGAGGGAAATGGGGAGTTACGGTTTCATGCAAACAGTTTCTATTTGGGTGATGAAAGAATCAGTGATGCTTGTCTTTGGGGTGTTGAAAAACTGTTCCCTGGCTGCCAAACATTCTGGAAATTCTCATGGTTCGAACCTTTAAATATATTCCCCAGGATTTTATTTTATTTCCAAAATATTCTGTCAGAGACTGGGCACTGGTGATTCATGCCTATAATCCTAGCTACTCAGGAGGCAGACATCAATCAGGAGATCTTGGTTTGAAGCCAGCCTGGGCAAATAGATCATAAGAACCTATCTCGAAAAAATCCATCACAAAAAAAGAGTGCACACAAAAAAATGTAAAAAGCCAAATCCTCTGCCAGAGATATCCAGACTAGATCTTTCTACTTCCTCCTCCCCTGAGCTAAATCTGTAGTTGCTACAGGCTCAGTTAATTCTGAGGACATAGATTTATTTTTCAATTGAAATACAATATGATGTAGAAGTATATCAGAGCATAGCACATGTTGACTATTTTCCACTGCTGTGTGTCATTGCCTACTCCTTTAGGTTCACTATATACATGCTAAACGTGTGACGTACGGTGTGCACACTTAGAATTGTTGTAGCAGCCTGACAGGTGGAATCTTTTAACACTCATTTATAGACTTGGAACAAACTCTAAGAATGGTTTTTGATTTAAAGCCAAGTGTGTCTGGAATAAGGATAGGTACTCTAACTTCTTATTTTTGGTTTGCTTTTCCTTAAGAAACACCTAGGCATTTCTTTCCCTTATATTTGTACTCACACTGGTATTTAAAGTCTATACCTTGCTGTCAGCATTTGGGACATATCAGGGACTGTAAACAGTGTGGGGAGTCCCCAGTGAGCAGTGGTAGAGATGACAAAAGCATAACTTTGACATCTGTTCTAGGATGGGAATTGGGCCTGATTGATCAGTTGTAGCCAAAACTACCACTACTGTTCTTGTCTGGTCTCCAGGAAAGACCACACTACCTGGGTGAAGTGATCCACTCCAAGGAGGTACATGCTGAGATCTAAGATCTATGCAAATCCAATTCAGAAAAGGCTTGTGGATGTGTGAAGGAAGTCAACATAGATAATAAGAGAAATAATGGATCAATGATCGTAAAAAATTAACTACAACATACTAAGGAAATGTAAACCCACTGTAATTTTAAGATATTCAAAAAAGTCAGACACAGGGCAAATTCAATCAAGGCAGGACTTAACTATAAAGAGCAGTGACCCACCTCTACAGATTTGGAGCTAGAGAAAAAACCACACACTAGAAAAAAGAATACAGTTGGCTTCTATCAGTCACATGGGATGGGCCTTAGGCATTCAGAATACCTGGACATTTATACCTTCAGGACACTGTTCACAGCTTCTCTGTATCCTATTAACACAGACTCCTGATGGTGTGAGCAGCTTCAGCACACAAATTCAATGACTACCAAGATTTCAGGGCCAATGGACACTTATTCACCACCCTGAAACTAAGACCTCCTATGAAGACTGGATATGCAACCATATATTATGGTCATACTGGTGACTTATAAAATTCTGTGAGTAAGAAATGTTAAGTAGAAGAAAGTGACAGCCACCCCAAATAATCCTCTAAACAGGATGGATACGAAATTTCAAATCAGGAGGTGCTATGGATAGAATTGTGTGTGAACCAAGGACCTAAAGCTTAGCAGGTTGACACCACTTGAGTCATATCCCACTTTCTTTTTAGGTTATTTTTCACATAGGGTCTGTTTTTGACCAGAGAGGCCTAGAACACAATCCTTGTACCAATGCTGATCACAGAACTAGGGTTACAGAAGGGTACAGCTGTGGTGACAATTGGCTTATTAGTTGAAATGGGGTCTTGCTATCTCTCTGCACAGGATAATCTTGAGCCACAATCCTCCACCCTCCACCTCCCAAATAGCTGGGATTATAGTCATAAGGCACTGCTCCCTAGCCCCCACATTTCTTTCATTCTTCCCAAACCTGACTTAGAGATGAAAGGGGACAACATAGGTTTCCCTTCTGTATGAATTTGCTGATAAACATGAACTGGGTGAGTCTCTCAGGAACACCTCCCAAATTCATAAAGTGAGTAAGCAACAGTGGCTGTGGGTACTGAAATGCACAGACCATACATAAAATGGCTTCAATTCTCACATGTAGAAATGGAAGGTGCTGGGCCAGTGGTGGAAAGTCATCTGTTCTCATTTCTGTCTGAACCCACAGTGACTGAAGACATGTAGCATTCCCACCCTGAGTCTGATGGACTGCAAGGCCACTGTTAAATTTAGGCCTGGAAGGAAAGTTCATCACTTGTGTCTGAATCTCCACAAAGAGCTGTGAGCTGTTGGCCACAGGAAGAGGAGGGAAAGAGCTTGCTGTATCACAGAGAAGAGAAATGGCTTTTGGAGGACACTAGTCCTTTGCCATTCAGGATTTTCCCACCATGTGAATTCTCTGATGTTTCCTGAGGTTTGATTTCTGAGTAAGGTCTTCCACCTTCAAAAGACTCCTCTTTTGTGAGTGGTCTGATGCTTGCTGAGGTTTGACTTCCGGCCAAAGGTTTTTCCACATTGATTACACTGATATGGCTTCTCCCCAGTGTGAATTCTCTCGTGCATGGTGAGGCTTGATTTCTGGCAAAAGGTTTTTGCACACCAATTACATTGATAGGGCTTCTCCCCAGTGTGAATCATCTCATGTCCAATGAGGATTGACTTCAGGTGAAAGGACTTTCCACACTGACTACACTGATAGGGCTTCTCCTCAGTGTGAATTTTCTCATGCTCGGTGAGGTTTGATTTCCTGCTAAAGGTTTTTCCACACTGATTACATTGATAGGGCCTTTCCCCAGTGTGAATTATCTCATGTCTATTGAGGATTGACTTCAGGTGAAAGGATTTTCCACACTGACTACACTGATAGGGTTTCTCCCCAGTGTGAATCATCTTATGCCTAGTGAGTTGTAACTTTGAGACAAAGGTTTTATGACACTCAATACACTTATAGGGCTTCTCCCCAGTGTGAATTCTCTCATGAGTGTTGAGGCCTGACTTCCCCGAAAAGGTTTTACCACACTGACTGCACATGTAAGTTTTCTCTTCATTGTGACTCATCTCATGACTGGTGAGTCTTGACTTCTGGCCAAAGGTTTTTCCACCCTGATTACACCGATAGGGCTTCTCCCCAGTGTGAATTCGCTCATGCTTGGCAAGGTTTGATTTCCGGCCAAAGGTTTTTCCACACTCATTACATTGATAGGGCCTTTCCCCAGTGTGAATTTTCTCATGTACTTCAAGAATATACTTCAGGTGAAAGGATTTTCCACACTGACTACACTGATAGGGCTTCTCCCCAGTGTGACTCATCTCATGCCTAGTGAGTTGTGACTTATAGCCAAAGGTTTTATGACACTGACTACACTTATAGGGTTTCTCCCCAGTGTGAATCATTGCATGCATGGTGAGGGATGATTTCCAGGCAAAGGTTTTACCACACTGACTGCACTTATAGGGCTTCTCTCCAGTGTGAAGTATCTTATGCTTGGTGAGATATGACTTCTTGTGAAAGGTTTTTCCACACTGATTACACTGATTGGGCTTCTTCACAGTGTGAATTATCTCACGCTGGGTGAGGTGTGACTTCTGGACAAAGAAACTTCCATTCTGATTACACTGATAGGGTTTCTCACCAGCATACATCCCGTCAGGCTTACTAGGGTGATGTGTGTTCTGACATACATTCAACTCCTTTGGCTTCACTCCTAAAGAGCCTGCATTCTTTACAATTAGCTTTGAAATATGGCTGGAACTCAAATGAAACGCATGTCCTAATATAACTCTCTCCTTAGGTGTTGTGTTGTTCATAGTGATTCCAGCTTGCCACAAATGTCTGTCTTGACTTTCCTCATTGATCTCATTTATGACATCCATCTTCTGGGCATCTAAAGTGAAAAAAAAGAAAAATAACCGTATACATGAAACACAACTAAGCACTGCTATGGTATGTGCATGTGTTATTCTTCTCCTACTAGCATAAGATTTCATAAAAACATTAGGTATTGGCTTGTAAGTAAATAGTTTTCTTCCTACTGACTTCAAGTAATAAATGGCAGTGATAGATTTTATATATTGTTGAACTGTTTTTCCTTGCTTTTTTCATTTTATTTGCATATGGTAGTATAAAATATTCACCTACAGCCTAGACATCATTTTCCATGAAGTGTTTCTGCCCTGCCATTTCTTTCCCTATTGTTTTTCTCTATTGTTTTGACAATGCTGGGTTCTCCTGATGCTGTTCTTCCCATTATTCTACTTTGAAGGGTGCAAGAATTTTAGGACCAGCAACTTGCATAATACAAGTGAAGTCGGCTGACTGCCACCAGAGCAGGAACATGACATTGGTACAGCGTTTGCATCTATATTTGTTCAGCTTTCCTTCTTACCTGGGGAATAGCTATATGTATCTAGGGAGTTTTTCAAATGTAAAATGTCTTCTTTCCCATTCTAGATGAAAAGAGCTTCCTACAAAGTTCTAATTTAACCTCACTAACTCTGTCTCTTAGAAATGTAAGTTTCTTCTTCCTCCCACCACCCTGGACACCCACCTATGAAGCCCATCATATTTATATAGTGCTTTTCAGGCTCCTTCTAAGACCAAAAGTCCCAATATCTACACCCTAATTCTAGTACGGATACTCATGCTTGATAATCAACTTCTTCCAAATGATGTTATCTTGTGCACCGGACTGTCAGCTTTCTCTTACTTTTATAGAAAACGGAGCCTTGTCAACATTGTTCCTCTTCTTTCTTGTTTATACTGATATCCACTAAGAGAAGAGGGAAATGCTAACTTCAAACTCCACTCCCAAAAAAGTTGTGATCTATTCGACACGCAATCCTTGGTTCACATGGGCTTGGGACCAAGAATGTCTTGGCTTGCCCCAAATGCAGATCCCTATGATGGATCCTCCATTTTCATTGTGTCTGACATCATGGTTCACAAGGCTGAGTCTGGACTTTTCTCATTTTCTTATCCACTCCCTATGTGAACTGCTCTGTAAGTTTAAATAACAGCTTCAAGCTACTAATTTCCAAATTTGTGCTTCCAAGAGTGATGTAGATTCTCAAATGTAGATCTTCATATTCACCTATTATGTGTAAAATTTTGAAAACAGGAACTAAAACTCAAGCTATGTCAAGATAAACACTTCATAATCCCACTGCAAATGTAGCCCAGTGGTACACTAGTTGACCAGCACCCTAGAGGCCCTGGGTTCAATCCCCACCACAGCAAATTCAAACAAACTCCACCTAAGACTCTTCTCTGACCATCCTTCCTAAATGATGACAAAGTTTCCTTTCCTCATGTAGATGAAATATTGATCACGGTTCTTATTTTACTACTTGAAATACATTACTTTCTTGTTTTTTTCTCAGCACATTATAAATTCAATGAAAGGAACATTATTTTGATAATTTCTTTCATCATTTCAACTATAAAATTGCCAGTGCTTAAAACCAGCTTAGTACGATGTGATGAAGCATAAATAATTTATGAATAAATGTGAGACAATGCAAGTCCATGAGACACCAGGCATGGGGACAGGCACCAGTAATCCCATCCCTAAGAAGGCAGAAGCAGGAAGATTCAGACTATAGTGAAAGCCAGGGCATATATCAGGAGTCTGCCTCAAAAAATGTTCCAACTAGTCGCCAGAGGCTCATATCTCTAATCCTAGCTCCTTGGCAGGCTGAGATCAGAAATCCTGGTTAAAAGCCAGCTACAGGCAAATAGATCACAGAACCCCACCTCAAAAATAACCACATCCAAATGGCCTGGAGATGTGGTTCAAGTTATAGAGCACCTAATCTACAAGGGCCTGCCTACTTTGGAAGCTCAAAACCCTGAATTCAATCCCAGTCTCACAAAAATTAATTTACTAATTAAAAAGGAGTTATTTGAAGAAAAAAAAAACCATGAGAATAGAGAGTGAGCCAACTGACAACACTAAGAAAGTAAATCCCAAAGAAAAATATCTAAGAATAGGGTTTAGATTTGGGATAAAGGTCAAAATTATATGTGAGAGAGCCCTCCTTGGGGAATGTAATGCACAGGTTTGATGTGCGCAGGCACACCATCCTCAGGTTTGCAATCTGGAAGATAACCTGGCGAAGCCAGAGCAATATGGCCAACACCTGCTGGGCTCCCCTCTAATGCCCTCCTCACTCAGGATGCACCAACTCACCTAGTGGGCTCTGGCTTGGTGGTTTTTTTCTCATCCATGGCTCTGTTCCTTGCTCCATCTTGATGATCAGCTCAGGTTTAGTGATGCATTGACCTGTTCAAGCAAAACAAGGTAGGATTTTGTGATGCGATCAAGTCAGGTGTTTTCCCCCCACTATCCCTTTCTGCGACAATGGACATGTTCTATATTGTGTTACCAGCAAAGGAACTGATAGCCACAGCAACCACTTTCAAGCACTTGATATAGGACAAGTCTCACTGAAGAGCTACATTTAAATTTTTATTTCTCTTTTTTCTTTTATTGATGTATTAGCATATTATAGTTGTACCAGGGGGACACTGTGACATTTACAAGGTAGTTATAATAAATCCTCCCTCCCCCCATTCTTAGAACAGTTTCAATAGGTCTCATTGTCCCATTTTCTTTCATGAATACATAACAGTTCCACCATATTCACCCTCCTTCACCCTTTCCTCATGCCATACCAAACCCTGGACTTCTTTTACCTTTCTTTCCTTCATTCTTGAAAAACAAATTTTGTTTGCTTATGACGGTTATATAGGGAGTTTCACTGTGATACTTCTTTATTTATGTATATGTATTATACCCCAAATTGGTTTATCCCCTCCATTTTAAATCAGGTTCTTTGAAACAAGACAAACCCTAGCTTTGGAACTGTGTAATGAAGGGGCATGTGAAATTTTCATGACAGAGGGAGAACTGTGCACCTAAATATCCTTCATATATTTACTAAGAAATAGCACTTGCTCCTGAGAGCTGCAAGGCAGTTTCACTTACCCAAGGACACCAGGATGCTGTAGGTCTCCAGCATCACCTCCCTGTAGAGGGTCCTCTGAGCATTGTCCAGATCCTGCCATTCCTCCCAGGTAAAGTTCACAGCCACGTCCTCAAATGAGACCAACTCCTGGAACACCATATTTCTTCTAAACTTACCAGCCACCGGAATATGGAAGTTCTGCTTCTGTATGTGGGGGTGAGAGTGGAGTGGAGGGGATTCTTATATGTATTTTGCAAAAAATGCCACTTGTTTTGTACTCTGTATGGTAAAGTCACAGAAATGTACCACCATTATAATAATTTACTAAGTACTAAATAGTATTAAAAATATTATAACAAAGTTATAAGTTTACCTCACAAACCTAAATATCAAGGAAATAAAGTATGAGTATAAACAGGCCTGGTGGCACATGGCTGTAATTCCAGCACTGAAGAGGATAAGATAGGAGTATTTTGAGTTCAGGGCCAACCTGGGCGATATAGAAGGTTCCACTCTATTTAAAAAATAAAATAAAGTTTTGTTTCTTCAAGGTGCTTATAATCTGGCATGAAGAAGCCATTAAATATGAGTAAAACCCACAATCTATTAGAGGAATTGACTTACAGCTTCAACGTAAATGAGGCAAGGAAGGAGAACATATACTTCTATTTTGCATAATGAGTCTGCTCTTCTCTGAGAAGTCTAGAATTCTTTTTGAATGACTTATAAACCAAAAATATGCACACAGGCATCACAATATTTCCCTCCTACCTCCAAAAGGTGTTCACTCCAGGCATCTCTGCTATTTCCCAATGTACAGGTGTAAAACTAAAGGTCAGGTGAGAACAGGTAAGCAAACTGAGCAGATCTACATTCCAACAAGTCATTCCTGTGAGGAGAATTGGAAAGTCTTAAGGGAGAGTTAAAGAGTAAGGAACCAAAGTGAAGCATCAGATCACAGAGAAGTAAGACTGCAGAACACAGAGGTAACCTTCAAGGATAAAAAAGAAAAGAAGAGCAGGAACAGAATTTGGTAAGGATTTGTTGAATGAAGATAAAAAGATATTTTACTTCCAGATGATCTAAATGATTGCCACTACTTAAATACTGGTGTCATGATGTGAAATCTGGAAAATGGAAGAAGAACACAACATCAGGCCTGGTGCAGCTGGCTCATGCGTGCAATCCTAGTTACTCTGCATGCAGAGATCAGCAGGATCCAGGTTTGAAGGCACCCCAGGCAAACAGTTTATGAGACACAATCTCAAAAATACCCAACAGACACACACACAAGAAATGGAGAACAACAACAAAAACAAAAACAATACAAGAGAGAAAAGAAAATAATCAATGTTAAATAAGGGCTGGCTGAGTACCAAAATAGTAGAGCACCACCTAGGAAGCACCAGGCCCTGAGTCCAAACCCCAGCACTGCCAAAAAGAACCGATTCCTACAAAGTGACACAAATTTGATCATATTACATTTGGAATTTCCCAGACCACATTTATGGGACGGCCAACTACCAATTTCATACACGATTCCAGAGTTCAGTAGAGAGATGTAAGCTGAAGATAAAGTAATTTGCTAAGTAACACAATTTTAGTGCTGCCTTAAAGATATCACAGTGAATGAAATGGATTGCCTTCAGAGAAGGAAAGTAACAAGAAAAGAATATAAAGAAACTAATATTTTCTGATAGAGGAAAATAAATAGATGACAAAGACCAAGAAAGAACTTTCTGAGATTTAAAGAAAATTTCAATGTTAAGAACTCTGAGACTTTCATGGTGGTGCATGCTTGTAATACCAAGACACAGGGGGCTGACTTCCCGGTCAGCCAGGGTTACATAGTGAAACTCTATCTCAGAATCAAAAAAGGAAAAAGGAGCTCCACTAACATAGTTAAATATATTCATATTCTTAGAGACAAATTCTTTCAATGGTTCACATAGACATTGAGAAGGTTCCTTTCAAACTTTGACCCTGGACAAAGCATGGTCCAAAGCATGGACTCAGTACTGTAGTCCAAGCACTGAAGAGGTGAAGGCTGGAGGATTGAGAGTTTGAGGCCATTTTGAGCTACCCAGAGCACAAAAGGGCAGTATGAGGCAAAGAGGGATCTTTTCTCAAAAACATATAAATAAATGAAAATACAAGTACCATCCTGGTATCTGTTCAGCTTTAGTTAGGATATGGAATGCCATACAGGGCCACATGTGAAAGGATAGGACCCAGTCCATGGTGGGACAGGCAGGTGGTAGAATCTTTAAGAGGTCATAGAAGGTGTGCCCTGGAGCAGATATTGAAACCTAGTCAATTCTTATCTCTCTTTCCCTTCCTAGCCATGAGGTAAGCAGCTTCCTCTATCATGAGCTCCTGTCATGATGTACTTTTGGGCTTTGCACAGGCCTAACGGCAATTGAGCCAAGTGATTACACACTAAAGATTCCAAAGTCAACAGACAATTTAAATCTTTCCTCCTTTTAAATTGATTGTCTCAGGTATTTTGTAATAATGATAGAAAGCTGATAAATATGGGAAACTATCACTCCATCCCAAAAATCAAATACAGAGCTGAAGAAACTGAAACTACAACAACTCTTCCTGGATCCAAAAGGGAGCAGAGGACACAGAGCACAATGCAGCCAGGCTGTGTCATTCCATTATAGTAGCCTTAATAGAGTAACACAGCTTGCCATCCCCTATACCTTACCATATTACTAAATGTATTATTTCCTACAGCTCCTTTTATTTGGCATGATGTGTTAAGACTATGAAGAAAGTATTTCTAGGCATATTAAAAACCAAAAAACACAATTTGAAGTGGAAGAGGATGCATAGGAACATGGCATTATCAGAAAGCAAATTTTTAAAAACTCTGATTAAGGTACTAAGGAAGCTAATGGATAAACTATAAACAGCATGCTAGGACAGGTGGGCAAAACAAACTCCAACTGTTTGTTGGCCATAAGAAGTTCATTCAAATACAAACACATATGCCAGGCTCTCACCTGTATGTAATCCTAGTTACTCAGGAGGCAGAAATCAGGAAGATCAAGTTTCAAGGCCAACCTGGCCAAACAGTTCTGGAGACTCCACCTTGAAAATACTCAACACAAAACAAGGCTGGCAGAGTGGCTCAAGTGGTAGCACACCTCCCTAGCAATCATGAGGCCCTGAGTTCAAACCATAGTACCACCTAAAAAAAAAAAAAAAATTATATATATATATATATTATATATATACACACGAACACATATGAATTAAAAGTAAATGGATGGAGATGGGGTGAATGTGAACAAAGTACATTACATGCACATATGTGTATGGAAATGTCACAATTAAACATCTTTGTGAAATTAATTTAGAGTAACTAAATGTTAATCTAAAAAAATAAATGGAGAAAATATATCATGCTAACACTAATTAAAGGAAATCATGGGTGATGGACATAGCTGAGTTGTAGAGCAGGAGCCTGGAAAGTTACCAAGTAAAGGGCATTGGGTAACAACACAGTGATCCGTTCTGCAACATGTAACACTTCTTAAAATGTATGCGTCTAACAAAAGATTCTGCAACTGTGGGACAGCAACATTATTAGAAGTGCAAGAAAAAGATGAACCCACAAGCACACTAGAGATGTCAACAATCCAAAATGGACAGACCCACCAGGCACATAATCAGTAATGATACGGCTCAACTCAGCAACAGTTGAGTTCCACTGCATGTAATTGGCATCAATAGATCACTGCTTCCAGCAACAGATTACACATTCTTCCCAAGTGCACATGGACAACCACCAACACAGGCCACCTTCTCAACCAGAATAAACACCTGTACAGATTTAAAAGACTAGAAAGCATATGTTTGCTTTCAGACTAGAGTGGAACAAATAACAAAAAGAAAACAGAAAAATTTCAAATATATGGAGATTAACCAACATATTTACAGATATTAAAAAAAAAGAACTCTAAAGAGCAATTTTTAATTTTGAACTAAATGAAAATGAATGCACATTGCATGAAAATCTGTTGGGTGGAGCTTAGAGGACAACTGTTGGCAACAAAATGTACAATAGATGAAAACAAGGATTTAGAATCAATAGTCCAAGTTCCTCCTTAGGAAAATATGGGGTAAAGTAAAAATTAAAACCAGCAAAAGGAGAAAAATAAAAGAGGAATTACAAGCAGAATCAGTGAAATTGAAACAGAAAACTCAGCAATGAGAACCTGCAATGGAAAACAAAAGTTCCTTAAAAGCATCAATAAAAAAATACCATGAAACAATTTGGGTTATAATAAATATATACATGTTAATATCACAAGGATACTCCCCATGTAGATATCTAAAACAAAAATGACATTTTTTTTTCATTTACAAAATCAGAGAACTGGAGGGGAGAACAGGTCCTGCCTGGGAGTGTTGGTCCCAGTGGGAGGGGGAGGAGATGTGGAAAGGACGTGGGAGGGTAAATATGGTGCAAATGTACACATGTATGTAAATGGAAAAATGAGACCTGTTGAAACTGTTCCAGGAATGCGGGAAAGGGGTTAAAGGAGAATGGTGGAGGCTGGTGAATTCAAGTATGATATATTTGATACATTGTTAGAACCTTTGTAAATGCCACAATATACCCCCACCCAGAAAAACAATAAAAAAGAAGAAAACAAACAAGCATACTGACTGAAAAAAGAAAAACCATCAATAAAATTCCCAGTTATTGTGCCTCATGCCCAGCTACTCAGGAGACAGAGATGGACAAGACCACAATTTGAGTTCAAGCTGGGGGTGTGGGCATGATCCCAACTACTTGCAAGACTATAAGAGGATCACAATCTCAGGCCAGTCCAGCAAAAACCATGTGAAAAATATCTAGTGCAAATTGGCTTTGGGGCATTTTCAAGTGGTACAGCACCTGCCGAGCAAAAACGAGACTCTGAGTTCAAAACAAGTACCACCAAAAAAATCAGTAAAATCCTTAAGCATATAGCTAGGTTATAAGAAAATAAATGACAAAGGGCACATAGTACTAATAACAGAAATGAAAAAGGGCTGTCACTACAAATTCTGTGAACATTAAAAGAATAACACAGGAATACTGTGAACTATGTCAACACATTCAATAGGCTATGTAAAATGGAACAATTTCATAAAAAACCCAACTTATCCAAATTCAAAAGTTAAAAACACAGAGTGTGAACACATTTCTAATAAATGAATTGAGGGCTAGGAGTGTGACTCAAAAACAATGCCCTAAGATCAAACTGTAGCACAAAAAAAGAAGGAATTTAAAAACAATGAATAACCTTCCAAAAACAGTACGAGAACCAGAGAAGTTCACAGATAAATTCAACCATGCATTATAGAACAAATTCTATCAATTTCGTATAATCTGTTCTAGACAATAGAAGGATACTCAGTACTTCCTAATTTATTCCCAAATGACAGCATTACCCTAACTTTGAAACCAAACAAGGAAGGTAGAGTGGCTCAAGTGATAGAGCACCTGCCTGGCAAGCGTGGGGACCCGAGTTCAAACCCAACTGCTGCTAGAAAAAAAAAAAATCCAGAAACTGTCAATATTTGCAAATCAAATACTATAATTTGAAATAATCTGTGAGTCAAAGAAGTATTCATAAGGGAAATGACAATATTTTTGGACAAACATACACATTGTTACCAATGGCTTTTGGGAAGATTATATGGACCACAAGTCCTCTCCAATTCTCTCTGTGTTGGAAACATAAGCTTTGAACCTTGTCCAGCCTTGGTGGCTTGGTTGGCCAATGGAACATGGCAAAGATGGCATTTGGTGACTTCAAAGGTAAGGCTGCAAGAAGTCATGAAGATTCACTAGTATCTCTTGGAACGCTAATTTTGTGGGAAGCCAGTTACCAACTACACTGCGACCTCCTTGGTGCAGAACCACATGGAAGTAAGTGTGATTGTGTACAGCCCCAACAAGTCCCAAGAGCACCAGACCCAGACAACAGTGAGTCTCCTCAAAAGCCAGTGCCCGTTGGGTTTTCAGATGATCCTCCCCAGATCTTACTTCACTTCATCTGTGCCTGAGATGAGCCAGGTACCAGAGTCTCCCTAAATCATGGAGTGAAGACACAGTCACCACAGTCTGAGCTGATGATGATGATGATTATTATTATTATTATTATTATTATTACTATTTTTCTGGCAGCAATTGGGTTTTAACTCAGGGACCCACGCTTGCTACCAGTGGCAGATACCTTGAGCCACTCCACCAGCATTTTGGTAATCGAATGTTTTCAATATAGGGTCTCGGGAACTATTTGCCAGGGACTGGTTTCTAAGCTGAATCCTCCTCACTTCTGCCTCCTGAATAGCCAGGACTACAGGAGTTTTGCATGGACACCCACTGAACAGAGCTTTTTTTTTTTTTTTACACAGATGGGATAACTAAAATGTGTAAACCAGGAGTGTTATGGGAATAAAAAGCAACAATGTGCAGCATGCACTGCTGGGAAACAAAGCAGAGGTGCAGCCTGCAGGACTCCTAAGGCAGGCTGGAAATGAGTCAGGACTCTTGGTGAGGATAAATGTCTCACTAATACCTGGAGAAAGTCTTGTGGATCACAGACTGGAGAAAAGTCAGTAAAACTACTACCTCTCATAGCATGGAACCCTCAGAGACAGGCTCACTGTCTCAGGGCTGCCTAAGGAGACTTCCGGGGAGAAGGTGGAAAGGACTACCAGGCCTCTTCTGTCTGGCTCTGAGAAAAATGAGAGGACAGAGATGAATTAAAGAAGACTGTTCAACTTTCAAAGGTGCCTTAGAGAAGGGGAGGTGAGAACAAGGACCTGTCACAAACAGTGTGTTTGTGTGGAGATACAGTGTGTGAGAGGGGATAGCTTCTGCCTAATAGATTTTGGTACACAGGAAGCATACCCCTCAAAAAAAGTGATTCACTGTGTCATTGCCTGTGTCCAAGGAAAACAGAGTCAGAAAAAAGTGAAAAGTAGGGACAACAAAGGTGTAGCTCAGTGGTAGATTGTATGCTTAGTATTCATGAGGCCCTGAGATCAGTACATACACGTACACACACACACACACACACACACACACACACACATCAAATAAAGAGGGGACCATTGGATACTCAACTTATATAACCAAGACATAGGTGGAGAAAGTTCACAACTGCAAACTGAGGCATTTCTTAAGGAAATATAACATCAACTCAAAGAACAGCAAGAGTCCAGAGAGTAGAGGGAAGAGGCGTGGGTTCTTTCCTAGGGTCTAGGACTAGGCTGTAATAAAAAAACTGGCACAGGTGCTTGATGGGAATAAACACTCAGATAAGTACAGGCAGGGTGCCTCCCACGACCCAAGCCCCCCATGTTCATGCCACTCTCCTCACTGTGTGCTGGGTGTGTGTAGACAGGGAGATAACAGGCCACCTTGATGTAGGGATCCAGGGCATACAGGGTTAATATGAAGAACTGCAGGGGAGATGAGATCCAAACCTCCCTGTTCCCCAAAAGGGACCTTTTACAGATAACACTGAAGTACTAATGGGCCCCACATCCTACAAGGTGGATGATAACCAGTGCCAACCACTTCTGAAAGCATGTGTGGTTTAGCACACCAGTCACCTGTAGAAACCCTTTACGTGTTTTTCCCTACTTAAGGCTTAATGAATATTACATGCATGTAATGCATACAATTTTAATAGAGTGAATTATGGGAAGGAACAAGCACAATCAGAAATCAGTTATATACCATCTGGTTGTCTGCTAATTGCCATAAGGCCACTTGCAGAAACACCCAGGTTTCTCTCACCAGCCTGGCTCAATCCACATAAAACTAGAGAGACCCTAGACAACTGTATTCTTGAGCTGCATGGCTGAAGCTCTGGTTTCTCCTTTGATGGCATTTCTTTCACTTTCTACTTTCAATAATCTTTGTCACACACTCCTTATCTTTCAGAAAAATCTTTGATCTTGATGCCAGACAAGAGCCAATGTAATTGCTAAGGCCCAGATAACAACCAGAACCTGATTTAATTGACCTTCCTACCAGTGTCAAAAGAGGAAGGAAAAGATCTCTGGAGGAACTAAGAGAGTTCAAGTATATTTTGAACTTTGGCAAAATGTGACTCATTTTTGGCCAGATGGCAAATGTCATCCCACTAGTGACCTTCCAGCTGGGACAAAAGACTTATTGTAGCTGACCACACTGACTTGCAGCAGACTAGAGACACAATCAAACACCATGACATACACAACACAAGCCATACTGCTGTGTCTAGTTCCCTGACCCTGAAAATTGTGACAGGTAAAGAGAAGTTTCTACTTAAACCAGTCAGTTTTCCAGATGGAACACCTAAAACGTCACTAGAGACAATAGCAAGTACCTTAGATTGAAATGCGGAATTTGGAGGCTTAGATTTAACTTATGCTCAAAATAAGTGAATGGTAAAGCACATTTCACAATTATGTCCCGCCTCAAAATACAGTTGTGAATTTAAAATGTTCAGCTAATGAAGTTATCAATTTTTATTCTTAACCAACTATAAACTACAATTACAGCCCATAAACATAGCCACAGCTGGTACAACCATCCATTTTTGGTTATTCATTCTAAGGAAGTGTGAACCACAGACAGCCAGATCCATGCAGGAAATCCACTGAGTGAGTAGAATGGGGCCTAGGATGGAGCACTTGGTTATGTTAAGGAGCAAAATAAGCAGAAGAATTCAGGCCAACAGAGAAGACAAGGGTGTGACAGGAACTAAAAAAGAAAAAAGTAAAGGAGCACATCACAAGCAGTAGCATCAAATATGGTAAATGGTGATGGATATGGACGACATTTAAGTTATTAATGGGCTTTGAACAGCTGAACTAAGACAAGACTGAGCGGACTAAAGGACAAATGAACAGTGAAAAGATCTGCCAGGAAATTTAACTTTGAACAGTGTGCACACTTATATGTGGGCTGATAGAGAAGAACAGAGTCACTGAACAACCTGTGGTGAACTCAATTCTCCAGAAGCCACAAGATGTGACAGGACCAATTGAGCAAAGGCTTTGCTCCAAGGTGCGCCTTCCTGGCCGCAGTCACACTGCAGACCCGCGGCCTAGTAGTCACACACATGGCTGCTGCAACTTTCCCTCCCAGCCCGGCTCGGATCCTCCCGCCACCCGTGTAACTGACCTACCGGACGACCACCTGCGGATCTGCCCACCTCGTCAGGGTCGCCGGTCCTGCAACCCAGGGTCCCTGTGGCCGCTTTCTCTCTCACCGTCTCATGGACCTTCAGGGATTCTGTGGAGGAATTCAAAGTCCGCACCACAGCGCCAAAAGAGCAGCAGTTCCGGGAACTTATGGCTGGAAACTGGCGGGGGCAGGATAGCGCCTGCGCAGAAGAAACCCGGAAGAGCTGCACTCCTGATGCTGCTGGTGACTGGACAGGATGAGACTACGTTACCCACAAGCCTCTGCGCAGATCTCACAAGTCAAGGGAAACTTCGTTTCCCATGGGTCTGACTGCAAACAGACCAGGATAACGTGCTTTAGGATTGGTCCATACCCCCGGGATAGCCATGTGGGCTCCTGCTTTTTTATAAAATCCTACTGTCAACAATCCAGCGTATTCTGGAATAATTAGTTTAAAGCATTCATTTTAAATGCATTGCGCCAGCCCGGTGGCTCAACCCTGTAATCCTACCCACTCTAGAGAGTGAGATAAGGATCATGGTTGGAGGCCAGCTGTAGCAAAAAGTTCTAGACACCCCACTGATGTACTCTCTTGTGTCCCAGCGCATCCCTGTGCTGTCCCCGTGGTTCCCAAGGTCACTGGCATGGGATTTCAGTCCAGGAAAATCCATGGTGCACAACTTGAGGTTTCAACCTCAAAGAACTTTTGCTAGAAGATGCAATGGTATCTTGAAGAGAGAGGAAAAATGCGTGGCCCCACCCACGTGGGCCTTGAATCCCAGAGATTAAATTGCTGTCTCCAAGCAATCTTAAAGTAAGGGGGAGAAAGGCAAGGTACTGGGGCAGAGCTTGGCCTCTGGTAAAAGAAAATTTTAAGTAGCAAGGAAATTTATGAGGATATCTCAGGGCTTGTAATGCTACAGCCAGAGCGGTGCCAATATAATTGGTATCCAGTAATTATGAATGTCAGAGGGAAAACTAGCAGCACTGAATATCTTATTTTAGGACTCACTGCAGAGGACAACACGTGGGCTCTGGAGTCAGACTCTTGTCTTACAGTCTTTATATAGATGAGCCTCAGTGCCGGTTTGAATAAAATGGACTTTAACAGTAGTCACTACTCCTTAGAGCTGTTAGAATCAATACATTATTTAATAAATGATAGCTGCTATAGGTTGTGTTAGATTGAATCTGGTGAAGTTGCCAATATTTGGATGGGATCTGCATTGTTCAACTAATGGTACTGAGGCAGGCTCTTCTGACTTAATATTATATTTCAGGATGAGCATTTTTTTCCCTCTCTCTGAGCCTTCCTTTCCATTGCAAATATGTGCAGATTATTCACACCTTAGCTCAAACCACCATCCTAGCCCAGGAACCACCCAAAGTATTCCCCACTCAATTTTTGGTGATCAAGAATCACCCAGATTTTTTCTTTCCCATAGGTTAGCACAGGTTTTTAAAGCACCTGGAAATAGGAAGAGCTCTCTGTACTTCCACCTTATACCTGGTCCACCATGGCCTCTTGTAACTTATTCCCTAACCTTTCATAAACCTTTATTATCACTCTCACTATGTCTATATATCCTGCCTGGATCCACGTGGGAAATAAGGATCTAGATCCTCTGTTTATCAACCTACATCACCTATGGTGAGCCTATCTACTAGATGCTCTGCTATGGGATGGAAATGGAAGCAGAGGTGGACTGAGAGTTTCCTACAATGATGGTGGGGCAGAGGTAGAGAACCAGACAGACAGCTGGCTCTAGGCTTCTGTCCCAACTGTTTCATGTCCAAAATTCCTCTGGCTACTTGAATGTGGTCCCTTACTTCTACCTTTTCCATGATTACTAAAATAGCCAGATGTCACCAGTTTCAATGAAGATATAATCCTTTTTACCACAACAGTCTGCCCCTTCCCCAGCCTGCCTACAAATTTGAATTTAAAAACAAATTTTTGGTATAAAATAAGAGCATGGACTCATGCAACCTGTATCCTTTGTTCAGATGAGGATATGGATGCCAGCCCTACACCCAAGACTATGGTCTCTAAACTTAGGTTAAAGGTTTGAATAATAGCAAAGCTACTGTGGCCCAAGGTAAGCTATTTTTAGAGATTATTAAAAATACCCTCTAGAGGCAAATCTAAAGCCTTCAATATCTAAGAGTGCCCTCACAATGTAATTGCTTTGTAGTTATTGTGTGAATTTTGTGTATGTCTATTGCATGATTAACTTATTAGAGACAAAAATTTGATAGCTATGATAACAGTCTTATTGGACACTGAGCCTGACTGAAAACACGTTCATAGAATTGACTCTTGTTTCAGCTATCAAGCCACCTTAAATCATTCCAACAGAACAGAATGGGACGCATCCTAATCTGCTCCTCAAAAATTTTTAAATAACTCATTAATGTACTTGTGGCCACTTAGTTATTTTTACATGTTCTTGAGTTCTTGAATCTATGCATGCTTAAACTGACATTTATGGCATGCCTTGTGTACAACTTTTTTTGCATATACATTATTTGAACATCTTTAGGATTAGTATAGACATAATGTAATGAAATGAAAGGCTTCTGTTCCCTTGTCTTCCCCACCGCCTTCTCTGGTGCTACTTTTAAGAAAAGCAGTTTTTCAAAGTTTTATGTCAATCAGGTCTAACTAAAATAGAGGCATTATTTTATGGACAGTATCCTCAATCTGTTTCATTTTGTCATAAGTGTAATTTACCTTTGATTCTTTCATAATTAGATCTATCAACAAATATGTCTTTATAAGTTAGTTATTGTATAGACAAACAGCTTAAGACTGCCTTGTTTCATGGACTCTGAAAGATTTTCAAGGGTCATGTTGAACTAGAACCTGAGTCTTTATGTACATAACAGCAAAGCTATCTTAATATTGTTCTGCTTTGTGTAATATCTGTAAGACACCTGTAATGAAAGTTTTTATCAAAATAATTACTCGTGTTTTCTCCATGTGCTCCTAATTGTAACAAGGAGCACTTAGTGTAGCTGTTTTAATGCCATCAGTCATAATTCTTTTCCTACAATGCTGTCTGCAATAGAAATAACTAAATTTTCTGACAATTCCTGAACTACTTCTCAGTGTTTTAGCCCTCCCTATTCTAAGTCTTGTCATTCACAGTCTGGGTCCTTCTTTGGAACATTTGCAATCAAACCCCAAAAATGACTACCAAGAACCTATTTTTCAATTGAGTCAGCCAATTAGATATTTACTTTCTTTTTGGCTTATTGTATTCTCCTTGTAAAACTTATAACTGTTGTCTGTTGACCTTCTGCAGGATTTTTTAAATGTCCAGACAAAACTAAAAGTGGATGCCAGGTAAGCCCACTTCTTCTAACCCTCTTTTTTTTCTTATAATTTGACCAAATGTTTCTTATTTGGCACTGATGTTGATCAGACCTGCCCATTGCTTCCCCTGCAATGTGGAAAACATCTGGGAAAAGCTATTCCTGCAATGAGAGAATTTCATTAACAAGAATGTTTAATTGACAAAATCTTCAGAAGAGGCTCTTCAGCGACAAACAGTTTGGAGACAAGAGGGGAAAGCTGTCACAATCCAGATGGATTCACTTGTGCCAGACCTCACAAAAGTTACTAAAGCCAAGAGGTTTTAAAGAAGTGATATTACACAGGGACACTAGACATCCAAGCCCTTGCAGGCACCTCTGACAGAATACAAACTCATATTTTTGGCCAAGGCCTTCTATTTAATTTTTGCCGGCTCCAAAGTTATCTTTTAAGTAGTCCATGTTGATGCGGCTATTTTCCCCTATGAAGTCTATTTAACTAAATGTATTCTGACTTTGACTTGCTCTGTATTCTACTTTTTAAAGTTGTGTCTAATTTTAGACATAAATAATAAGTACTTTCAACCTAGACTTACACTGCTTTTGCTGAAAGATGGAAAACCCTCAAAATAACAACTCTGGAAACTTACCTAATCAAAAATGGAGATAATGACCAACCAGGCAATACCTGAGGATGGGAGTGCTTACTATACATACCTTTGTCCCCTACTCCCAGTTCTTTTGTCTACTTAAATCTATAGCCAATATCTGTACCTCAAGATCCCTTGGTTTTCCTTCTCATGCTGAAATGCATGCCTCACTTTGTCTCCCAAAGCTTACATTCCTATACATAGGTCACACTCAAAACCCTGTCAAAAGAATGCTTTTTTTTTTTTTTTGTCAACCAGTCCAGGATATTTTGCCATGCCATTTAAGGGACTTCAGGAATGTGCTACCAATCTCTGACAACAACAATGGACAGCTGGCAACAGTGGTCTTCCTGGGTTAAGTGGATGTTATGTGTCCTCCCTCTGCTGGGACCCCTTATTTTTTCCTCATTGTGACCTGGCCATTTTCAAACACATTCTTGCTTTGTTTCCTAGAGGGAAAGGTTATAGTGAAAGGTTTTTCCACACTGATTACACTGATAGGGCTTCTTCCAAGTGTGAATTATTTGATGCTGGGTGAGGTATGACTTCCCGGCAAACATTTTACAACACTGATTATATTCATAGGGCTTCTCCCTCACATGAATTTTGTCATGCAGGTGAGTTTTGACTTCCAGGAAAAGGTTTTACCACACTGGCTACACTTATAAGGTGCTTCTCCAGTATGAATTATCTCATGATTGCTGAGGTGCAACTTCTGGACAAAGTATTTTCCATACTGATTACCCTGATAGGGTTTCTCCCCAGCACACATCCCTTCAGGCTTACTAGGGCAATGTGTGTTTTGACATACATTCAACTCCTTGGGCTTCACTCCTAAAGAGCCTGTATTCTTTACAATCAAATATGAAATATGGCTGAAACTCAAATTAAAGTCATGTCCTAATATAACTCTCTCCTTAGTTGATGTGTTGTTCCTAGTGATTCCAGCTTGCCTCAAATGTCCATCTTGACTGTCCTCATTAGTTTCAATTATGTCATCCACTTTCTGGACATCTAAAATGAGAAAAGAAGAAAATAATCACATACATGTAACCAATCTAAGCATTTCTATGGAATGTGTATGTGTAGATAAAGGAGGTTCTTCTCCTACTGTCATAAGAGTTCATAAAATTCTCAACAGGTATGGCTGGCAAGCAAATAGTTTTCTTTCTATTGACTTAATGTAATAAATGACACTGACAGATTTTTTTATCTTTAATATTTATTCCATGAGAAGTAATTGGTTAAAATATTCACCTACAGCCTAGTCATGGTTTTCCATGGTATGATTCTCTCCTGCCATTTCTTTCCCCCATTCTTCTCCTCTATTGTTTTGACAATGCTGGGGTCCCCTGCTGCAGTTCTTCTCATTATTCTACTTTGAAGTGTGCAAGAATTTACAGAACCAGCTACTTGCAGAATAAAAGTGAAGTCCAACTGACTGCTGCCTGAACAAGAACATGGCTTTGGGACAGCATTTTGCATCTATGACTGTTTAATTTTCATTCTTACCTGGGGAATAACTATAACCATCTAGGCAATTTTTCAAATGTAAAATCTCCTCTTTCCCACTCTAGATGAGAATAGTTTTCTACAAAGTCCTAATCTAACCTCATTTACTCTGCATCTCAGAAACATAAGTTTTTCTTCAGGTCACCATCCTGAATACCACCTTTGAAGCCCACTATCTTTATAAAGTGCTTTTCTGGTTCCTTCTGAGATCAACAGTCCTGACATTCTCTCCATAATTCCTGGTAGAGGCACCCATGCTTGATAATCAACTTTGCCCAAATGATGTTGTTTTGCACAATGGACTGTTGGCTTTCTCCTACTTTCATAGAAAATAGAGTCCTCTGAACATTTCTTCTTCTCTTTGTTGTTTATACTGATATCCACTAAGAGAAGATGGGAATGCTAACTTCAAACTCCACTTCCAAACAGAGATCTGAGCTCTTGAACATGAAACCCTTGGTTCACTTGGGCTTGGGACCAATAATGTCCTAACTTGTCCAGCAATGAAGACCCATATGCTGAATTCTCCATTTTCATGATATCTGACACCATGTATCACATGGCTTACTCTGAACTTTTCTCATTTTCTTATCAACTCCGTAGGGGAACTGCTCTGTAAGTTTAAATACCAACTTCAAGATACAAGTTTCTAAATTTGTGCTTCCAAGAGTGATGTAAACTTTCAAATGTAGATATTTATATTCACCTATTATGTGAACAATTTTGAAAACAAGAACTGAAACTCAAGATATGCCAAGATAAAAAATAATCCAACTATGAATGTAATTTATGGAACTCTACTTGACCAGCACAAAGGAGGCCATGGATTCAATCCCCACTACTGAAATTTAAACAAACAAACTCCACCTAGTATTGTCTTCTCTGACCATTCTTCATGAATGATGACATCTCATGCTTCTCTTTCTCACTTTGATTAAATATTCCTCATAGTTCTTATTTGACTACTTAATACATTACTTTCTTATTTTTCTCTCAGCAGACTGTAAATTGTATGAAAGAGACATTATTTTGATACTTTTTGTCATCAATATAACTATAAAATTGCCAGTGCTTCAAAATCAGCTCCAGTAGGACGTGCTGAAGCATAAATAATTTATGAATAAATGTTAGATAATACAAGTCCATGAGAAGCCAGGCATGGTGGAAGTCACCATCACTAAGGAGGCAGAAGCAGGAAGACTGTGACTACAAGGCCAGTCAGGGTACATATCAGGAGTCTGTCTCAAAAATATTTATAAACCAGGTGCCAGAGGAAAACACCTGTAATTCTAGCTAAGAGAGAGGGTGAAATCAGGAAGATATTGGTTGGAAATCATCCCCATGCAAATAGTTCATAGGACCCCACCTCCAAAATATCCACAACCAAATGGAATGGAGGTGTGGCTCAAGTGGTAGAGCAGCTGCTATGCAAATGCCTGCCTACTTTGGAATCTCAAAGCTCTGATGTCAAACCCGAGTCCCATAAAAAACTAATTAATTAATTAAAAGTAAATTAATTTTAAAAATCCATGAGGATGGAGGGTGAGGCAACTGAGAACACTGAAAATGTAAACAGCAAAGAAAATATCTAAGAAGAATAGAATTTAGATTTGGGATAAAGGTAACAATATATGTGGGAGAGCCCTTCTTATACAGTGTAATGCACAGTCTTGATGTGTGCAAGCCCACTGTCCTCAGGTCTGCAATCTGGAAGTTAACCTGGTGAAGCCAGCACAACACAGCCATCGACAGCTCTGGTCCTTGCTCCACCTTGAAGATCAGTTCAGGATTGGTGATGCATTGCCCTGTTCATGCAAAACAAGGTAGGATTTTTGTCAAATGATTAAGTCACAATTTTTACTCTCAGTATCCCTTTCTGCAATGATGGACATGTTTTGTACCAGTGCTGCCAGCAATGGAGCTGCTAGCCATAGTGGTTATCAAATGCTTGAACTAAGACTAATCTCACTGTGGAGCTACATTTAAAATTTTATTTAATTTCGTTTTCTTTTTTCTTTTATGATGTGTTAGCATGTTATAGTTGTACCAGGGATCATCATGACATTTACAAATTTAATATTAGATTCATCACCTCCATCATACTCCTTTACCCTCCATACCCCCATTCTTAGAACACTTTCAATAGGTCTCATTGATCCATTTTCATACATGAATACATAATACTTCTGAGGCAGGCTAAACTAAGGACTCATAAAAATATTACATCTTATATTAACCATGCTTTGGCTCAGGAACCACCCTCACCTGGCTGGGAACTGCCCATGCCCATCCCCATTTATTGATTATTGCCGGGGAATCTCCTTGCTCTCCTCTTCCCATAAAAAAGCTCCTGAAGAGCAGAAACACACTCTCTCTGCAGACAGACTCCAACTGCACCCCACCATGTTCCCTTTGTACTTCCCTTTCCCTGGCTTTTAATAAACCCCATTTACACACATGAATTTTGCTTGGATTCTTCCACACCACATGGCCGTGGGCCAATTAGGAATGCCCTTAGCATTCTGGCTATGTCTCCCCTCCCCACTACTCTCCTCTTCTCTCTCTCACTCCTCTCACCAGTGGTTTTAGAGGGTGAATAGGAGAGTCTTATTCCTCAGTGTCACCATCATGGCTGTGGGAATATGACCTTCCCAATGGCTGCTATGATGGTAGGGTAAGGGCACAAATGTATGCACCTCAGGCCTGCCACTCTTGGGCCACCAGGCAGAAGAGGGGCCTGGTCATCGTAATAATGCAGAGATGGTCTGTCCATCTTGATCCAGTGAAGCCATCACAATATCATTAGTGCTCAGAGGCTGGGCCATGGAGTGACTCTGGGGGGTTTATTTTTATTGTTTTGTGTGTGTATGTCTTTGACCGAGTGGGTGGTTTTCATTTTTTAGCAGTACTGGGATTTGAACTCAGGGTCTGTGCTTGCTAGGTATGTGCTTGGCCACTTCAGCCACAGCACCAACCCTAAGGGTGATTCTGTATTACAGGGACCCTCTTAGCTGGAATCAATGGGTCAAGCCCATAATCTCAGATACTCAAGAGGTAGAGACCTGGAGGATCACATTTCAAGAATAGCCTGGGCAAGGAGAACTACAAACCCCTGAAGAAAGAGATTGAGGAAGACTACAGAAGGTGGAAAGATCTCCAGTGCTCATGGACTGGTAGAATCAACCTAGTAAAAATGGCTATACTACCCAAAGCAATCTACATGTTTAATGCAATTCCCATCAAAATCCCAGTGATTTCACACACAGATTGAAAAAATCTACCTTAAAGCTCATTTGGAAACAGAAGAGACCACAAATAGTTAAGGCAATACTCAGAAAAAAGAGCAATGCTGGAGGTGTCAATACCCAACTTTGAACTATATTACAAAGCAATAGCAATAAAAACAGCATGGTACTGGCACAAAAACAGATTTGAAGACCAGTGGAACAGAATAGAGTACCTGGATATGAATCCACACAGCTATGCCCACCTTATTTTTGAAAAAGGTGCCATAGACATATGATGGAGAACAGGGAATACTCTGGAAGCAATAGGTATAGGCAAGGACTTCCTCAACTCAGGTTACTCCAGAGGCACCTGCACACCCATGTTTATTGTAGTGCTATTCACAATAGCCAAGTTATGGAAACAGCCAAGATGCCCCACTACTGACGAATGGATTTAGTAAATGTGGTATTTATACACAATGGAATTTTACTCAGCCATGAAGAAGAATGAAATCTTATCATTTGCAAGTAAGTGGATGGAACTGGGGAACATCATCTGTGGAAGATAGATCCAAAAGATAAATGTTTACACAAAAGTAAACATGAACAACATGCATTTATATATCTATCCTGTTTATACTAATGGAACTACTGTATGGGACTTGTAGAGGAGGGAAAGAGAGAGAGAATGATAATCAAAATACATTACATCTGTGCAGGTAGAGGACATAACGATATACACTGAAAGCTATTGAGTGCTAGAGATAGGAGAAGAGGTAAAGGAGAGTAATAGAAGGGGTGGAAATGACCAAAGTACAGCACTTTCACACCTTTGAACACTAGACTTTAGAATTAAAGATGAAGGACAGTATTGTAAAATAGAACCTGGTGACGGGGGATAGTTGTGGAAGGGACAAGCATGACTAAGGTTAGTGTGCTTTGTGTACATCTATGAAACACAACAATGATACCTGTTGTAATTGTTTTAAGTTGGGGGGGGAAGAAAAAAAGGGAGAGATGGTGGGGGCAATCT